ATTGGTGTTATGATTTAAAAGTTCAACTCATCCAACTTATTAACACTGACCATCAATTAGACTATAACTAACGTTATGAGGATAATTTACAAATATCGAATAATCTAAATTCTAGTACTACAACGCGGATCTGATGAATGGTATCGTAGGGTTTTTACTTTGAAAAACCATACATGGAACATGGCAAACCACCGATAACCTTAATCACTCCATGCAGCGTCACGTTTTACCGCACAATTTGTTTCCCAGCTCTTTCCACTAAATCATTGGTTTTAAATTGTGTTTAAATTCTGCGCAATATATCTTGGTTGCAGGATGCAATGGGTGATGTTCCATTTAGAAAAGATGACCAGTGCAATACAAACATATAGCGTGTGAAACGATATTCCACTGCAAACAACAGAACGAATTGATCAACGTTTCTCATCAAAACATTTGGATCTCGTGTCTATGGTTCATGGGTTTAGCGTCCATGCACTCGGCCAAATGAAAGAATGTGCATTGAAATGTTGGTTGCATGGTCGTGAATATGTGATATTGAATTCCCACATGCAAGAACAAAATGGTCATCCAGTGTTCGGACGTTTTCAGTGGTGATTCGAATATGATAACTTTGTGATTTGAAGCTTTTTAGATAAAGCCATTTTATACATGTAGCAGTCTATGGTAAATTGGAAAGCTTTTACTAATTTGCCGAAGGCTACTGAAGTTATTGAAGTAAAGGTCAATAAGAATGAAATGGAACTTGAATAGATGAGTGCTCTGAGGAGGGAGAAATATTTAAACTATACTCTGTCCTTAAGAGCCAGACGAATATGCACTGAAGACACAACTGATATTGAGCTGAATATAATTCGACATACACTTCTAACGAATGGCTTCCAACCCACTTCAATTAGTGACAGAATTCTAAAACCAGAGCTTAAACTTGAAGGAACTGTTCTGAAGAATGCTTAACACTTGATTATCAAATTCAAGGAAGATGCGGCAACTGGGATATTAAATGAAAGATCAGTTAGATACTTGAAAAAAAACATTGTTCTGCAGTGTAACGAACTGTTTCCACCAGCAAGAAAACCATTCAGTTAACTGTGAATGATCACCAGGCACCTTGGACTACATCAACTTTCATCGATCAGTTTACTTTATCTTCTGGAGCTGATTGTATTGGCCGTACAAAAAACACTTTTACAATGAGAAACAAATTTCTAAAAACAAAAATAATGATTATAATGGTGTACATTATCTTACAGTGTGATCTGTAAGTTGAACTCATTTGTGTTATGTAGATATTTCAATGTTTATGTTTTCCTGTTATCTATCACAATATTCTGTCGAATTGATCAAACAATATGGTATTTGCTATTGTGTAGTGAGTGTAATATTCATCTCAGAGTAAACATTGTCACTCTTCGATGATGCGTTTCAGAGATTGACAATTATCTTCGCACACAGAACACTGATGATTGAAATTCTCATTTGACAAATGAAGGCTACATTTCTTAAAACAATATGAAGTGAAAACAAATAGGTTGTCCTTCATGTTACATATGACTGACAATCACCAATACGCAGAGATTAAAGATGAATGAATTTTTCATCTTTCAAATGATGACTACTTTTCTATGGAGAAAATGAAATGAAAACATATCGGTTGTCGTTTGTGTTACCGAACGTGTTGCTTGAGGTGTGAGTAAACACTGTAATCATTAACTACGTAATTTCGAATGAGTGAAATGAACGTTTTCTTGTAGAATCATCTAGTTTTTACGTCCATATTTTATCGATCTATGGAAGCCTCCTCAATAATCTCAATGCTTTTAAAGTCAACTAGTTAATACGTCTCATGTATTTTTTCTGAGACCGCTGTCAATAACCATGATGACAAAGTTTACATGACGTTCTGTATATCGTTTTATATTAGTCGATGTGACAGATTGACTCATCGTTGCTCGATATTCTGAATAGGTGTATGTGATTGTTGACAAAATGTATGTTGTGTTGAATGTTTATTGAAGTCGGTTATAACTGTTGAGTGTAAGCGATCAGATTTTACATGACATCGAACACATAGTTAAATGTAATTTGACATTTAAATTCGTCCTAATTTTGTAGTCAGCGGCCTACAATGTGGTATTATGACATCGGATCAGTCCTCATCTGCATGACAATGGCAATTGTGTGGACGACATGAAGTTTTTTAAGATGAATTGTAAACAACGTACATAAAATATACTACGGTTTCCCGAAGCATCCGGTGTATAATCACTTCAAGCAATCTAAACTATCTACAAAGATTTATTTGTCGATATTGACTGACTGTGGTCAACTCATTCACAAATATTCGTTAAGTAATCCTTCCTTTCGTGACACGAATTGTGAGACTATGGAAGGTAAGACAACCGATATTGTAGACAGATACATTTTACTGTCGACAATGTGTATGTTTTCATTCAGTATTCATTGAGGTTTATAAGAACAGCTGAGTAAATAAACCGAATTATTCAAGAAAATAAACTTCTTCGACATGTCTGTCGTTTGATATTCAAAATCTTTTTCGGAAATGAACAAAAGTAAAAACTTTCTTACCGTTCAACATGTGAATACTGAACCTTTCGAAAATGCTTGAAAATTCCATCATTATTATTATTATTTGCATCACGGTTATTATTTCCAATTTTCTTGACAGATCGATATTTGAACTACAATTCTACTTTTATTCTTATTCCTCTATTCCAACTCAAATATTCTTCCAGATGTCAGTTGATTTTCTGTTTGGATCAGTTTGTTTGTGATTTAACAATGAGAGATCATTCTTACACTTAAAGAAATGTTAGATAATTGAAAAACGTCATCACTAATAGAATAACATTCAGTAAGGAACTGTTCAGAGAAAACTGTTGTAGATTCGTGAAATGCTACTGAGCCATAGCTAAATCATCTGGCAGTCGGGTTACTGAATACCAAACTGATTAGCGATCCACGTCAAGATCAAACACAGCCAACGTGTATCAGTTAATCATATGCTATGAACTACCACATACGACGATGATCTCACTACTTCTCTGTACTCATTCTTACTAAGATATTTCGGTAATAACGTCACTTGAGCTATGTAATTTTTAAAACAGCCACAGTATATTGATACGTCGAAAGCAGAAATTCACGTCAGATGTTGACCGCGAGGTGTGAATTTGAAGTTGGCTGTTCATCACACCATTCACGTTTAACTGGAAAGTGACCTCCAGTCATTCCATGAAGATCAATATAGGTTGATGATCTACACTGATAATTAACACAACCTATTATTATTATTATTATTATTATTATTATTATTATTATTATTATTATTATTATTATTATTATTATTTTAATTATCGCATTCTACATCTATTCTTTTTCACTTTTGTCGTTGTATATGTTAATCAATTACTGTGAAACTACGTTGCTTTATACCAATGTTTAGAAATATTTAAAATTAAATAGGTAATTCAATCTTTAAAACTAACCAATAAACTACGATTGTAATGAATGGTTCTTTAACAAGCATTAACAGCATGAGAATGCTCCTTAGTAACATGTCTGTCAAAATGTTAATCTATTGAAAGTATAGCCACAAAGCAACATGAACTCACGTCTGTTTGTAACTTATCTACTTGTATAAGCGTGACAATCTTACAAATTCATCTTTGTGCCTTATCACTACCAACCAGCTTCCGTCAGGAACTGTCAACTAGAATGTTTTAGCTACTTGATCATTACTTTATACCCTTCTTTCTTTCTGTATTATATATTTATACACAATCTTCATTTTATACAATACTATGATTGAAGTACCTACTCTTATGAATTTTGTGTTCATCTTGTGTTAATGGAGTATGATAACTCGAACCGATGCATATGTTTGCCTGATCCTACGTTATAGCTGAGTGACTGACGTGACCACAGCCTGCCTAATTTCCAATTTCTGAGTTTCACGGTCTGACATAGGATACGAATGCTATAAATTTACGTTGACTTTGAACTATAAATTTTGCGCAATGTTAGATCTCGTTTAGACTGTTCGTCAAGCACTGCTAAGTATATGGCTTAAATTAATTTTAAACTTAAACAAATTCAGTCTACAACGCTGTTTTAATCCAAGGTTTTAATGAATAATACCTCAAATGCGATCCGGATTCGAACTACTGTCTAGGTAAAATTTTCTTTACCTGAACGCGTTACTGATCCTTATTATGCCAAGCTCGCATAGCTCATACAATCTTTCGTACGGGCTATTTTATTCCTTCTCCTTCACTTACATTGGAATCGATACCATAACAAATAGTAATGTAAATATTCTGAGTGACATTATGGTCAACATTAAAGCCGCTAACTAAACTGGATTCTCCTAACATGCATTTCATGCGTATCATTCTTTTGATCATTACACTGATTACAACTTGACACATCACACCAGATCACTCTAATATCTTATGAATCTCCTTCTCAGTTCACAAGTTGAACATCGTGTCCACTACAAAATTCTTCATATCTTTTCAATAATATACAGTGATTTCTGTTCGGCTGACTATGTACTATTATTCAGGTTTTGTTACTAGTGCTCTATTAGAGTTCTAATATTTGTTTACATGTCAGTTATTCGAATTATTTTCATCTCAGTTTGTTTGTGGCATAACACCCAGTTGAATTATTCAGTTACACACTTTAGTGTGAAATAATACGCGGCACGGTTTAAACGTTAGGTCCTTTTGAAATGTGCCCGCCCTTTCGTTTCAGCGACCTTGAACGGCTTGATTAGAGGCGGTCATTCCGTATTTCAATTGCCGTGGGTTGGTTGGTTTGCATGAGTATCAATTTTTTTCATATATAAGTCATCCTATGCTACATAAAAAGCACGAAATAAATAGCAAAACCATTAATTTAGCGTTCTCTGTTTTGTAGTGTGCACTTTGGCTCTGTTGTTGCTTTGTAATTCGATCTTTGATCCCAACAATTGTAGTAAAGCTAAACGAAATGTCAAGTCACAGGTAAATCTCAAGTATTTGTAGTATTTCCTTGGGTTATTATTGTTGCAAGGAATAACTGTTTAATAATTAGTCATGTCTGTTTTTAGTGCTTCATCCTCAAGTGACATTTCAGTCGACCTAACCGATGCCTTTCGAAGTATGATACTGAACAAGCGTTTCGTGTTGTGGGATGATTTTGAAAGTGCCTTAAAAGAGTTCCAAAAAGTATGGAACTATAATTTTATCGCTTCTCAGACTACTTATACTCGTTACATCCACACAGAAAGCAGATTGCTGAAGGATGTCAGGTTCAGATACCTGTTTGTATCGTTTAATTGTACGTTTGGTCACAAACGGAAATCGGAAGGTTTGAAAGTGAGGCAAAAATCGTAAGATCTTTAACTAATATCTTATGTTTAAGGTCTAAATTCCGTAATTGTCAATCTAAATTCCGTGGACAACATTATGAAGTCGATATAAGCATTTGTCAATGCAATTGTAGCATGTTTATGATGTGTCGATATCCCTGCCGTCACATGCTACTTGCCTACGTTAAAAGAAGAAATCTTACAGGTAAGCTATATCAATAATGAAATACTAACTGCATAGCTCATCAACTTCTTAGGTATTGTAGCAGATGGAAGTTACACAATACCCAGAACTTCCAAAATTATACATTAACTGCATTACCACGACGGAGTGAAGAGTATGTAAGTATTCAACGCAGCCAAAGAATCCATAAACATCGCATCATTGAGAAGTATGGTGAACGCTTCGCAACAGAAGTTGAGAAGAAAGTTGACAATTATTACTTAAGAATTCTTAATACCAACTTGTAAACTTGATTTTCTGCTTTAGCAGCAATGATTCTTCAATAAACTTTCATAATTTAAATTTTCATCTTATTACTACTTTTATGAGAATGAATAGCAATGATGTTCATGTGTAACTGTTTGTAATAATTAAGATCGATTAAGAAACCCTACATCGACGTACAGTTTTGCAGATTAGGCACCCACATATCATATTCACCTTCGTGGGATTACGTTTATCATTAAAATCGTATCAGTACCTATGTACATTTTAAGTTCATGTGATTAATTCCGCTTATGAATCAAAATAAAACCAGGAGAAATGTTGATTAACAGTGGTATGCATTCATTACAACTAAATATGCAATAGGATTTAACAGTGATGTGGGAAACAGTTGACATACCTGAATATGAATAAATGAAATGACGCAGGTTATCAATAGTGAATATATATATATATATATATATATATATATGCAGTGTAAGGTCAAAGGTCATTTGCTTTTACAGTCAATAACACATTAAGAATGGGTGATATAATAGTTGACTGTAGTTCACAGACAGATAAGTGGTGTGAAAATCTTATAGCTTGTAAATGATCCGTGGATTTAAGAACTGAAAACTTGAGTTACGTCATAATTGATTACAATTTGCAGAGGTCACGTAATTACAGAGGATTAAGTGACAGGGTGATGGAAAAAATGCGTAACTAAATTTTAAAAGTGAAATGAATTATTACATAATCATTCTTATTACTTGTTCATTCCATGGATTATAAGGAGTTCATATTATTCTCTATCTATATTTGTTCTAGCGTCATATCGACTATTAATAAATACTGACATGGTTTATAACGTAAGACACTAAGTGTAGTTGCTATATTTATATTTCACTAATTCATTTGTTGAATAAAAATGATTTTAATATGGTCTTCCATAATCACAAATTCTATAAGTTGTAGACTGGCGTAAACATCATCACAAAGCTTTGACGACTTCATTTGATTCATACAATTCTGAAAAACAAACAAATCAGTCGTGAAATAAAGAATTAGACCTAGTTATCAATATCACATTTAATAAGTCAATCAAATAGCAGGTTACAGAATGTACTTATAAGTCTCTTATTTGCAGACAGCGCTAATCATTAGAGATTTCTATTTCCTATAATAAAAATTAATAGGTAATCTTTACAACACACAAATCAGTGTTATTTAAAAATTGCTGAAATCAGGTTCGTCACAACATAGAAGCGTGGTCGGATTTATGAATAAAATGTAATTCAATAATGTGGCATAAAGGCGATATGAATACAAGGAACTTGTGATTCTGCTTCCATTGCTCATTCACTTTTCGTCACGTTGTCTGCATGAATTACTTTGGACGAGTCAGTCTGTAATGCAGTAGGAATTCATGAAATAACTCATTAATAGTTGTTTTTTGATTTAAGTTTGTGTCTTAACAAGCAATGGAAATTTCTTCAGTGTCTAACCCTTGTAGTATTTCGTCTATATATCTGGTATTAGCAGGAGAAATTGGTAAGCACCATTTAGATATTACTCGACAATATGCATCATAACTTTGTTCACATTTTCTTCTGCGATTGTGCATTTCCTTTACAGAGAATTATTCGTCAACCCTCTAACAGACACATCATAAGTCAGTATTAAGTAAGACATGGTTTAGTCACCATGCTCAGAAGAGACACACATCGATTTACTTATGAAGATTTCGTGCATATTTAATGTGGTGTTACACACTATTTCTGTATAAGTTCAGAAAACCGGTAAAAAAGACTATCAACGTCTATTGTTACTCACATAATTTTTCTCTGATACCTTACACAGTAATATGTCACTTCAGTACAAAACAATGCTACCTATAGTCCAAATAACCTTTTATGGCTAAATACAAACAATTTATATAATATTCATAGTTACTTTAACGCTTACTTCTTTCTAATTACATTTCATAAACGACTACCAACATCTGTGTTTGCCGTCACCATAATCAAGGAGGTGAACCATATATAATTCTTTTTACGGCTTATTTTCATGAAAACTCAATCTGTAATCTATTTTTGACTAGAAAAATGGTGATTTGACTTCTTTGACTTAGTATTGTTAAAAAAAAACCATATTACGCCAGCTACATATTTACTTAGGTGGTGAGCACGAAATACGTCAAACTGCTTATAAATTGAAACAAAAACTATCTTCCAATCACAAAGATTACGAAAAGTCATGTATGACGGAAAAAAGGCTGTTAATAGCTGATAAATAACGACACATAAAATCCACGACAATACGTTACACGTGCGCGAAAACCCGTAAACTAACAAGCATACTGTGCCATAATACGCTTAGCGGTAGGTTTGAACTTTGCGCTGCCATGATAAGGTATTCAATATGTTAGGATGTGCAGGAAAATATACCAATGGTTATCATGTTAAGTCGAATGTTGTCCTTGGACGTTAAATGTATATTTCCTATCGGTCGATATTTACTTCACTTGTTTAATATTGTGTAAATGTTGTTTTCTATTTATATGGTACGATGTAATCTGCTTGGTTAGTATATAAACAGAGTGTGTTTGAAATATAATGATTCATATCTCAGAGGCTAGGACTTGCGTTCTGTACTCAACTGGCTGGGCTAGACAGGGAAGCAGGGCCATTCGGGACTCTAGGTCGTTCGTACGTGTTTACGTGTCACTGAATCGATCGATATAAAACGCTGTGCATTAAACCTGCAGTCACACGTTACAACACAATATAAAGTTTTTAGATATCCTGTTTTTTAAATCATAAACAGCATTACGATTAATAATTATAGGAAAATGGGTTAATTTTCATATTAAAAGGCAATGTCAGTAATAAAGATCACTCGCAAATTATGTAGAATATGTAAGGTAGTTATAGTTAATTGACAGGAAATCTCTGGAAAACTGTTATGTGCTAGCTTACATTAGTTTGAATATTGCGAGGACTGATTACTTACTTACTTACTTACTTACTTACTTACTTACTTACTTACTTACTTACTTACGCCTGTTACTCGCAATGGAGCATAGGCGAGGACTAATGGGTTCTGTTTAATGAGAGCGCGTTCCATTCAATTTCACAGTTCAACAAATTATCACTTATATATTCGGTTGCCAATTGAATAACTACACTAGAAGACTTCATTTTCAACTTCGTAGATGGAATTTGAACAGCACCAATGACTGGGTCAACATGACATCGCTTACTGTGTGATCAATTACTATATGTCAGCACTTCTGGCAGAATAGAATAAATTCTAACTCATATGTTATCACTATGGGTTGGATTGATTCATGCAGATGATCGAAAAGATGTTTTGTCCTGTATAACAGTGGTATACGTCAGTGATGAAGACATAAACGAACAAATTACATTTATAGCACATTAGTCACATTTTACACTTACAGTGTTTCGTGAAAGACTCTAGTAAATGAACACATAAGAATTCGCAATCATTAAAACATTAGGACTGGGTAACCCAATAAACACCACTCTGTTTGGTTTGAATGTTTATGACGATTACTTGACCAAAAGGATGACCTCCTGTGAATCACCACTTTAACCTCACGCTGTTTATGGAGATGGAAATTGATGAACATTTCCTCTTAAATACGATTTTGTATGCGTTTTGTACTAGATCAGTCAAATAGAAAAACGTTAATCAAAACGTTTATGCCATATATGTTAAATGAACACTCATTTCATACAGATCTCATGCTAAATCAACTTTTATTTTTATGTGATAGAAACAAATGGTGAATTTGGTTCAAGAAATAGATTCATTCAATTACTTTTTCCATCATGTTAATCAAATGTGCAATCAACCATTCTCAGTAAACTGTAGTCCTTTCACGATGTTCTCAACCAGTGACAAATTACTAAATAATGTTTCTTCCATGCTTCATGTTTCTGTACAACCGAAGACCCGAGATCGTTCCATTTCGTTGACTTTGTCAAAAAAAGCATTTCTCTACTTTTAATTACAAATGAAGGTAAGCATTTAAATACTTGCTTGCTTACGCATGTTGCTTGTCGTCGAATATCGTAGACCACCAACCAACACTCTCCATTCAGCATTGTTCTGGTCAATCTTTTCCAATACTTTCCAGTTGCCATTCATACTTCTCATATGTCCTTCCACTTCCCGACGTAGTGTGTTCTTCGGCCTTTTACCTTCCGCTTCCCTTCAAAATTTAAAGTTAGGGCATGCCTCGTGGTGCAGTTCAGTGATTTAGTCAATGTACATCTTATTCACTCCAAAAATCGTTTCTTCATTTCCTCCTCAGCCGTGGGCTACTCTGTCTTCTCTCAAAGTAAACTGTTTGTCATGTATCCGGTCAACGGACATTGAGTATTTTGCATAGAAAACTGCTTTGTAAGTCTTCGTCTTAAGGTCTACATCGGATTCTACTTGTCCATCGATGATACTTCGCAGGTACGTGCAGGATTCCACATGTTTCAGACCTTCTCTAACTGAAATTTCAATCAACATTTGGGTTTGAATGAAGCACAAAGAAACAGTCCAACAGAATAACACAAATGCGATTTGATTTCGTGATGTCCGTTCAGCTGTTCAGTATATGCAATCATTGTTCGCAAAGCCAAAACAGTGCTAAAATCTTATACAATAAATCTCAGAAAAATGATCTAATCCAATAAGTTGAATAAAGTAAACAATAAACATGAAAGAATTGAGAAATGTTTTTGAATGGTTTACTATTTGTGTGCTAAATGATATGAACAATTTGGATGGTGACGTCAGAGTCTCGTGTATGTTTGTGAGCATCATTGAATATAATTAATTATTCACTACGTACAATGTCTATTGTGCTCATTTGAGTGTAAGTCTTTGGTAGGCCATAGATCTGACTTCATGTAGATCGTTTCTGAATGCTATCAAAATATGCAGATCGTAAATTCTCATATGTAATCATTAGTTTCACTAAGCGTGGATCGATATTTATAGTCAGACAAAAATAGGTGACAGAAATATGACGAGTAAGATAGG